TATGTTAGTATCTGCAAATTTCTAACTCCCAATTTATCCCCTCCCATCCCCCTCCCTACCTGGTAACCACAAGTTTGTTCTCTATGTCTGAGAGTCTATTTCTGTTTTATAAATAAGTTTGTTTGTTTGTTTGTTTTTAGATTCCACATATAAGTCATATCATATGGTATTTTGCTTTCTCTTTCTGGCTTATTTCGCTTAAAATGACAATCTCTGGGTCCATCCATGTTGCTGCAAATGGCATTATTTTATTTTTTATGGCTGAGTAGTATTCCGTTGTATACATATACCACAACTTCTTTATCCAGTCATCTGCCGATGGACATTTAGGTTGTTTCCATGTCTTGGCTATTGTATACAGTGCTTCTATGAACATTGGGGTGCATGTATCTTTTTAAACTAAGTTTCCCTCTGGATACATGCCCAGGAATGGGATTGCAGGATCATATGGTAAGTCTATTTTTAAACATGGACTTGTTATCTTACAGTTCTGGGGGTCAGAAGGCCTAAAAAAATCAAGATGGTGGCAGGGCTGTGTCCCTTCTGGAGGCTCTTGGGGGAAATCTGTTTTCTTGCCTTTCCCAGCTTCTAGAGGCCACCTATAGTCCTTGGCTCATGGCCCCTTCCTCCATCTTTAGAGATAGCAGCATGGCATCTTCTTTCTATCTGACCTCTGCTTCTATACTTCCATCTTCTTCCTATAGGTATCTGACCCTCTTGTCTCCTTCTTGTAAGGATGCTTCCAATTAGATTGGTCCCACTTGGCTAATTCAGAATAATCTCTTCATCTCAAAGCCTATAACCTTAAGCATATCTACAAAGTCCCTTTTGCCATGTAAAGTAACCATGTAAGGTAACATATTCAAAGGTTCTGGGGAATAGCACATGGACATCTTTGGGTGAGGGGACATCATTCATCCTACCGCAATGCTCCTGCCCTTGAGTTAGTTTATAATATACCATAAGATGATAGACATTAAACAGATTTTAAGAATTAAATATGATAAATTATAAGATAACCTTTGCACAAGTTACTATGGGAACACAGAAGAGAAAACATCAGACTGCCCTGAGGAAGTGCTTTATACAGGAGATGTTTAAATTGAGCCTTAAAAGAAGATGAAGGAGGAAAGAGTCTGGGAGATGGAGAGAGAACCAGACTTGAAAGAGCATGACTTTCTCAGGCAGCAAACACCAGTTCATTGTGACTGAGGTATGGGAGGCACATGATGCAGTAACAGAGGATGAGGCCAGAAAGGAGAGGTGGGACCAGCTGAAGAAGAAGTTTGCAGCCATCTTCCATAATAACAGATTTGTATGTTAGTTTCCTTTAGACAGCGGGGAGCCATGGGAATAATAAGTATTTCAGAAAGACCACCCCTAATGTGATATGGATAATGCTTGGGTGGAGGAGGAGAGGAATAACTGAAGGCAGAGAGGTCACTGTTCTTGAAGTAAGATGTCTGTGAACAAATGGAACATATTCAGTATAAACATGGCTAAATCAACAAACTGCCTTATTTGACTATTTTTCTATCTGTGGTAGGTTGACTAATGGTCCCCAAAGTTATGAGATCCTAATACCTAGAACCTATGAATGTTATGTGAGTTGGAACAAGGATCCTGCCAAATGTGATTGAATTAAGGCTCTTGAGATGGAGAGATTTTCCTGAGTGAGCCCTAAATGAAACTACATGTATCCTTTGTAAGAGGAAAGTGGAGGGAGAGGACAGATGGAAGAGGAGACAGTATGACCGTGGAGGCAGAGACTGAAGTGATGTGGCCACGAGTCAAGGAATGCTAGCAGTCACTGGAAGCTGGAGGAAGCATGGAACAGAGTCTACCCTAGATGATACAGAGAGAACATGACCCTGCTGATAATTTGATTTGGGCTCAGTGAAATTGATTTTGGACTTCTGTTCTTCAGAGTTGTCAGGGAATACATTTCTGTTTGTATTTTTTAGCTACCAAATTTATGGTAATTTTTTTCCAGCAGCCATAGGCAAATAATACCCTCCCAATACCCTAGTGTACTCTGAATGGACATGTCCTGTGATGCCCTAAACATTCTTAGGGCACTATCACGCTCAGAAGTTGATCCCACCTTTAGTTTAAATGATGCATCTCTCCCCAATAGCTACCCTTTTAGTCTTCATCGCTAAGAGGTTAATGGAAGATAGATGTTTCTATTTTATACAATTAGGGAAATGATTTTTGTAATTGAAGTATAGTCAGTTTACAATGTTATGTCAATTTCTGTACAGCATAATGTCCCAGTCATACATATACATACATATATTCATTTTCATATTCTTGAGAAATGATTTTTTTTAGCTCTTAGTACAAGCCGTGTTATGCTCTATTTAAATATGTATTTTTAGAGTTTTTAGCTCCAGAACTTGAGATGATGTGTAAAGCAAAAACAAACAAACAAGCAAAAGTACTAGCTGGGGCTGATGGATCAGCAAGGCTTCCCTGAAGGGTGGCACCATTCTGAGCTGACACTTCATTAGGAGAATATTTGAAAAAGAACTTGAGCTCTCACAGTCCTTTGAAGAAGCTGCCGTTCCCACAGGGGCAGCTATAGTGCCATTCAGAAGAGAATCTTTCATGTGCATGTAAAGTTTTCATGTATGCAAATCAGATTCCTGCCATGTTTTATTTAATGGGTTGTAAAATTTTTTTTCTGTATTAAAGAAGCACTGAGTGGTGTTAACCTATGAATGAGAGGCAGGGAAGTAGATTATAAGGAGCAGGGACCCTCAAGTCAAACAGAAGTTTTGCCAATTTCAGGACTACTATTAAGTCAAGCACCTCAACATATTCGTCTGTGAAATGGGGTTAATAACAGCACCTGCATCATTAGGTTGCTGCCACAATTAGATGAAATGAAACATACACAGCACCTGGCATAGCTTTTGACACATACAAAACACTCAACAAATATTTGAGGTTATTAAAATTAGAGTCATAATGATGGTGATAACATTATTTTTGTCTTCTGGTACTGCTACATGGTGAGATGCCCATTAAGAGCATCATCTTGCAGAAAATTCTGGAAAAGTACAGATACTGTGTTAGTAACTCAGTTTTGAAGGTGGTATTAAGCCCTGAGCCAATAGCCCTTGTGACAGTACTTCTGCTGTGGTTCCAGAGGGATGCAGAGCAGTCAGTAAGAATGCCTCTTATCAGAGAAAGCACATTAGAAGAAGTAAGCCTGGCCTTTAATGGGTAAGCTAACTTTACCTTGGAGGTGGTAAAAGCCAGTCAGGAAGGACTTGGTATGTTCACAGCCAGTGTAACAGGTATGACTATGAACAATACAAGAGGGTGGTTCATGAAGTGCTAAATGATAAATATATTGATCAGAGAAGGCCTGGAGTACTCAAAGGAAACCTAAAAAAGCAAAAAAAAAAAAAAAAAAAGAAAGAAAGAAAGAAAAGAAAATTAAGCTGGTTTTTGAAGAAAGGGGAGGAGTTGAGTGGAACAGGGAGTTTAGAAGGAAGGGGAACACTTCAGCCAGGGGCAATGATATGAGTAAAAGTAAAGCATCACAATGGTCCTAACACCACCAGCTTATCCAGGTACTCTACTAACTCGTTCCATTCTGATTCCCTTCTAGCCAAAATAAACTAATCATTAGTCTGAATTCACCCAGCAAAGCTTTCCTGCCTCTATATTGTTTTCTTTTTTTCTTTTT